ATGTCCTAGAAACCTCACATATTTACATAATATATACATACATGTACACGCACACACTCAACTTCTATTTACACTATTTCCTCATAGCTATACAAACATTACGTTCCCTTATGCTCTTTTAGTGAATTCCACTAAACTGACCATGGCTAAATTATTAAATCAGGTTGCCTGGATTCTTTGCAGATATTCCTTTGGAAAAGGGCCCATTTTTCCTTCAGAAAGGCTGTAAAGAAACAAAGGATCTTTTCCTATAACAGCTTTCCTTCTAGCATATTACAATTACTCAATACCTTCCAGACTCCACAGAGTTAACTTTCTCTCTCTCTCTCTCTCTCTCTCTCTCTCTCTCTCTCTCTCTCACACACACACACACACACACACACACACACACATACACACACACACTTATTTGCTTTCTTATCTGTCTGGGCCTGATCCTGCTTTTTCTGCAGAATGGCCCCTTTCCACGGACACAGGTTTTGTCCATTACTAATTTAGCAAGAAGGGTGGGCTCCTTAATTAGTCATCACAACCTCTGGTTCCTTTTTTTGGGGTAAGTCCAAATTTTCATGTATTTGGGAAGCTAATACAGTGGAATGCTTTTTAAGCCATCTTATATTAATTGCAAAGTTCTAGCTCTTTTACTTTTATTCCTATTCTTCTTTAGAGCTTCCTGTTGCTTTACAACTGCCAATCAATGTTTTCCCCAGATTTTACCAAATTACTCCACTTCTATCTCAATCCCAGCTGATCAACAGCTGAGTTCATCTTGTAAACTGCACAAGGACAGTCCAGAGGTTATCAAGTGCCCATTCCAACATCATCCCCCAGTTCTTATCCTGTCCTCCCTTACAATTCCTGGAAAGTGATGTAGTTCCCAAACCTCCTGAGCCCGTCTGGGTCCCTCGGATCCTGTTCGTGATGCCAATTGTCATGTGGTTTGATTTATTTTAGATCCAAGGGAAACCAGTACAGTTCAGGGCTACTTAACCACTTTCTTATTTATTGTAAGCTTTAAGCAGTTAATACAGTTACAATTACTAAAGAACAATGACTATACAATTTAAACCTTAAATACTATAAATTCTAAAGCTAATAATACAGCACAAAGCAATGCAAAAGCAATTACTAAAAGATCTACTATATACAATAATAAATCCTAATGCACTTACACTTCACCCGTATGCTACCTACAGTGCCAGGCAGGAGGTAGTGGTGCCATCTTTTTCCACCCAGAGGAACGCCGCCACTGATGTAGCCAGTGTGAAGGGCCTAACTGCTTCTAGTTACATTGAGCAGCACGTGTGGGTCAATCCTGCCCATTCCCTTCCACTGATCGTTCTTACTCAACCCAATTTATAGCAAAGAGAGACGTGGTGGTTCTAATACTATTTACCAATCGATCATCTTTTGTGTAGGATACGTAAGAAGCTCAATGCCCTATTTGAGGTACATCCCGCGGCTCAGGATGTTGCTGCTCTGTGCGCAGTTAACAGTTTTGTGGCTGCATCTGTACTTTGTGCTCATCAGAAACAGAATTGGCAGCACAAGGCTGCTTGTCTTGCGTGTTCTTGACGTGGTCTCGTGTACCAGGCTTAATCTGCATCGTTATGCAAAACAATTCCTGACTCTCGGGCCCTGCCAGCGTGTTTTGTTGCACCAGACTTGAGACAGGCCAGAAATTCGCACTTTGGACCAGGCAGATATAACTATTTATTGCCAAGGCTGGATAGTGCAGGCTCCCCTACAGGCTCCCCTATGGAAGCCCTTATTCCCTCTATCCTTGACTACCTTTTAGACCTTAGTTCACAGGGGTTCTCCACCTCTTCAGCCAGGGTTCACCTTGCGGCCATCTCCGCATTCCACCTTGGGTCTCAGGGCAAGTCAGTATTTGTGAATGGATATAGCATTTTTAGACGGGGCTAGATAGACTGTAGCTGCACGTGCAATCTGCAGGCCACGTTTTGGGGCTATGGCTATAGAAGACACATATCCTTCATGCTGGTCCCCTCCAGGCTGAGCTTTCCTGAAGAGACGTTTACAGCGGTGTAGAGGCACAGAGCATAGGAGTAGCCTGTAACTGCAGGCCCTGAACCTTGACCTGAGACCAGGTCTAAGCCAGCTAGGAATAGAGGCTCTAGCCTAAAAATGGCCAGAAATCTGCTGCCTTGACCACCATCCTGTCCTGGCTGTCATTCTGCCCTCTTGTGAGAGAGGAATATGGTGCCCTCTGAGTCTCATATCCCCAAGCTAAGGGGACAGCACCTTTCCATGCCAAATCAACCCTGGTAATGCCCTTCACTCGTGTTAGAGACAGACCAAGAAACACAAACAGCCAACCTCTTGCCAAGTATTCTGAATTACAGCAGAAAAGAATGGGCTAAATCCTGCCTGAGCACCAGAACCACCTCTTGAAGTGAAGTATTAAGGGGTAGCCCTGTTAGTCAGTTTCAGCAACAACAACAAGGAGTCCGGTGGCATTTTAAAGACTCGCTAACCAGTTCATGAGGGTATAAGAGCATAAGCTTTTGTGAGCTACAACTCACTTCCTCGGGCAATGAAGAGAAAAAGAAAGAGACAGAAAAAAAGAAGGATACAGAGATGGGAGTGTGACATCAGTGCTAATTCAATCAGAATGGGAGAGGCTCATCTCCAACAGTGGTAAGAAGTACCTGAATGGGAAATTACCTCCTCTAATGCAACAGCCACTCCATGTGTTTGTTTAGTTAGACCTTGGGTCAGGGTATCAACTTTGTATATGACTTCCAGCTCAGCAGTTTGTCTCTGCAGTCTGTGTCTGAAGTTTTTCTGTTTGAGAATGGCAACTTGCAAGCATGTCTGATTCGTGTCCATTTTTTTTTGCATCGAGATAGTCCGGTTTGTGCGATGTACATGGCAGAGGGGCATTGTTGGCACATGATGGCATATAGTACATTTAATAGATGTGCATGTGACTGAGCCTTTGATGGTATAACTTCTGTGGTGAGGGCCTGTGATGGTGTCACTAGAGTAGATGCGCGGAGAGAGTTGGCAACGGGGTTTGTTGCAGGGGTAGGCTCCTGGATTAGTGTGTCTGCTGTGGGGTATGAAGTTGGTGGTGAGTATTTGGGGGACTGTCTGTAAGCGAGAATTGGCCTGCCTCCCAATGTCTGAGAGAGCAAGGGACTGTCATCTATGATAAATTGTAGATCTTGATTATGTGTAGGAGAGGTTTAGCTGGGGGTTGTAGGTGAAGGCTAGTGGTGTTCTGTTGCTTTCTTTGTTGGTTCTGTCCTATAGTAAATAATCTCTATTATCCACCTATCTTTATCAATCTATTTCTTCATTTCTTCAGGTGGGTATTGTAGTTTTAAGAATTCTTGCTAGAGATCTTGTAGGTGTTTGTCTCTGTCTGAGGGACGGGAGTGAATGCAGTTGTATCTTAGAGCTTGGCTGTAAACAATGGATCATGTGATTTGTTCTGGATGAAAGTTCGAGGTGTGTAAGTAAGTATAGCGCTCAGTAGGTTTCCAGTATAGCGTGGTATTTATGTGACCATCAGTCATTTGTACTGTCGTGTCCAGGAAGTGGATCTCCTGTGAGGACTGGTCCAGGCTGAGATTGATGGTGGGGTGGAAATAGTTGAAATCCCAGTGGAACTGCTCAAGGGCCTCCATCCTGTGGGTCCAGATGATGAATATGTTGTCGATGTAGCATAAGTAAAGGAAGGGCACTTGGGGACAGCAGCTGAGGAATCGTTGCTCTAAGTCAGAACTGATGGTATTCTGGGGAGCCATGCAGGGACCCCGACAGTGCTTCTTACTCAAAGGTATAAATCATCCCTGAATCTGAAATGGTTGTGAGTGAAAACAAAACCACAACGTTCAGTAGCCAGTTGTGCCGTGGCTTCCCTGGGGATACAGTTCCTGATGGCTTGTTGTCCATCTGTGTGTGCAACGTTGGTGTAGAAAGCTCCTACATCCATAGTGGCCAGGGTGGTGTTTTCTGGAAGATCACCAATGAATGGATTGTAGTTGTCTCAGGAAGTCAGGGGTGTCTCAAAGAAAGCTGGGAGCATTGATAGCGAAGTGTCTGAGGAGGGAGTCATCATAGCCAGACAGTCCTAGTGTAAGAAAGCCATTGCCTGAGATGATGGGTTGTCCTACATTTCAAGGTTTATGGATCTTGGGTAGACGATAGAATATCCCTGGTCTGAGTTATAACAGTGTGTCTGCGAGAATTTGTTCCTGTGCTTTTTCCGGTCATTCCTTGAGTAGGTGGTGTAGATTTTTTTGTGTACTCTTCTATGGGATTAAAGGATAGTGGCTGGTAGAATGAAGTGTTGGAGAGTTGTCTAGCAGCCTTCCATTGGTAATCTTGAAGTATGCACACAACTAGTAGCAGCTGCAGAAGTAGGCAGGTGCAGCATAGCTGAGCCAAAGAGAAAGGAGACCCAAGACACAGGTTGCATGGAAAACAATCTCATGGAATATAATAGGCAAGGAGATTTCCCTGGGCCATTTTTAAACCAAACCATAATTCTTCATTTTATTCTATATGTTTTTAAGAAATTGGCATAGAACAGGGTTTAATTTCTGCAGGACTTCATCCTTGCTAAATTCTACTGGGCTTCTATCACAGTGAACTTCTGCTCCCCCTATCACCAGCAGCTGGGCCAGTCTCTGCTCACCTGTATCTGTGTGGCCCTGTTGGCTTCAAGTAATTAGTTCAGACTTGTTCAGTACTATGCTGCATACAAATGCTAGGCATTTATAGTAACAGGCCCTTGCCACAATGCATGCAAGCAAGCAGGGTTCTATGGGAGCCAAGGACTTTCACCAGCTGATGACCCAGGTTTCTGGGCATAGAAGACATGGGGCCATAATTTGTCCTGATGCAACAGATTCAGGGGTAGCAAATGGCACTGGGTTTAATTCATCCCATGCAGAACAGGGGTGTATGTGCGGGATTCTCCTTTCTACCTTTTTATGTCTGCATCTGGAGTTACACGTTTTTTCCAGCCTCCACTTGTGTGACGGTGATGAAAGGCGACATCCGAGACTATGCTCTGCTCCTCTTTGCCATGAGGGGAGTTCACCTGGTTATTCACACAGCTGGTATTGTGGACATCATGGACCTTGTTCCCTTTCGGGACATGGAAGCTGTCAATGTTGCAGGTAAGCACTTTAAAGCAAGGAATTAAGTACAGACTAATATTCACGCCTCATCTGTGTGTGGAGTTATGTAGAATATGACACAGATCCTCGTCAATGTAGTGTTTTTTGGCCTTCAATAGTGCAGAAGCATCACCCGCATGATGGATTAGAAAAGTGAACTTTTCTTCATAGCAGGAAAGTTTTGCTCTTTGCCTCCTAACCTTAACTCAGACCAAGCAATGACATTTGCTGCTATTTCTACCAAGGTTTTATATATGCAGTGCCAAATTACATAAAGAGGGGAAAAAAAGTGTCCCTGGCAAATAGGGCCTGAATTGCACACAGATTTTGCACTGGGATAATTATATTGGTTGGGCAGAGAGAGACATTTTTAACCTATATAGTTATAAGGGTATAAACCTCTCGTGCCGCTGTGGATATACTCGTATGCATTATGATTGATTAGTTATACTGTTATAGCATCTAGAGGCCCGCTCATGGCCTAAGACAGCCTGGAGCTTTGTCCTGTATGAATATAGAACAGAGAGATGATCTCTGCTCCCAGTAGCATACAGTTTCTAGAATTATGATGATAAGGGAATAAAGCTAATACAATCCTTGCGTGCACAAGCAGGAGACTCTTGAATATAAGGAGAGAAGTTATTTTGCCTCTTTATTTGGCCCTAGTGCAACCTACTGCTGAAATCCTGTGTCCAGTTCTTGTGCCCACGGTTCAAGAAGGTCGCTAATAAATTGGAGAGGGTTCACAGAAGAGCTATGAGAATAATTAAAGGATTAAAAAACATGGGGCCTATTGGGGTAGACTGAAGGAGCTCGCACTGTTTAGTTTAACAAAAAGAAGGTTAAGGGGCGATTTGACTACAGTCTATAAGTCCCTACATGTGGAATATAAACTTAAAAATGGGCTCTTCAATCTAGATGAGAAAGATCTAACATGATCCAGTGGCTGGAAACTGAAGCTAGCTAAATTCAGACTAGAAACAACTGCAAATTGTCTTTAAACTAACCATAGGAACAAATTACAAGGGTTGCGGAGGATTCTCCATCACTGACGATTTTTAAGTCAAAGTTGCATGTTTGTCTAACAGATCTGCTCTAGGAATTATGACGGGGCGGTTCTCTGGCCTGGTCTACAGAAGGTCAGACTAAGATATCACAACAGTCCTTTTTAGCCTTGGTCGTGCTGATAAAAAGCTATACTGGTATGAGTACATTTATGCCAGTATAACTGCGTCCACACTGGTACCTCTTTAATCACACCTATCGAGTTAAAGCAGTACACTTGGCTGTGTGGATAAGGCCTTACCTACATGCAAGGTTGTCTACAGAGTGTTCTCCCTGTCACAGCCTACCCAGATTTCCTTTCCATCTTAGATACAAATCTGCTTAAATAAAATCGGTTCATAAATCCAGTGAATAAGCACAGGTTATAAAAAAAATGAAATCCTCATTATAGCAGCCACTAGCTGATTTCATAGTTAACTGCAATGACCCGGGCTTGACAAACGGCGGCGAAACCTACTCGCCAGCCCCGCACTGCGCATGCACAAGACCCACATTGCGCATGCGCACACTGCTTGTGAACAGGACGACTGGCTGAAATCTACTCGCAGTGGGCGAGTAGATTCAGTGATTTGTCGAGCCCTGGCAATGATGATCTATATATTTTACTTCTTATTTGGCTAATTCTTGGGCACCTGAAATGTACTGCTGCCTTCAAGGGCAACATCTGAATTCCATAGCTGTGTTGTTTTCAAGGCCAATGTGTGTATTTTGCGAGTGCAGGTATTATTCCGAGAGACCCCTTTAATGGCTTTGTAAGATCCTCTCTTCATTGTCTACTTGAAATCAGCAGAGGAACTCACAAGGAACTTACACATCTCTGTGAACTTGGAGGACTTTCCAGTTTAACAGAGAAGGTTTCTGAAACCAGCCCAGAGAAATAGGTATGGGCCAAGATTTTTAGAAGTGATTAGTGATTGGGACGCCTTACCCATCTTCAAGTTTAAACTCCTAAAATGTTGCTCATTTTCATATGGTAGCTACTCAGCACCACTGCAAAATCAGGCTCTACACAGACGCATACTATCTGCAGCCAAAGAATGACCATCCCAAGCAAGCAAATATATAAAAATTCAAGAGCAAAAGCTGAATGTCAAGATAGGACTATTAGAGATATTTTAGGGACACAGATTTAAGAGATGCTGAATTCCTCCAGCTTTCATGACTTCAGTAAGAGTTGGGGGCACTCAGAACCCAGACGTAACTCTGACATTGCCACACACGTGTTCCTGAGAGGACAACTGCAAGATCGCCACAGTTACCACCGCTATTCGATCCAGAAGTGCCCTAGAATCATAACAAGTGCCACAGCTTCAAAATTTTGTCAAGAGCTGATTGGGGAGGAGAGCCGACAGAATTGCTTGGCCCCTGGGCAAAAGGGGGCAGCTCTGTGCTCCCGAAAAGGGTGAGGCCTTGGGAAGAAGAGGTGGGGACAGGGCCTCTTGCCAGGCCTTCGGTGCCATCCAGGGCTCCAGCTGCAACTTAACGTGCCCAGGGCTCTGGCAGCTGCTGGAGTAGCAGTGGTGGGTAGGTGCTCTGGGCCATTTTGAATCACCAGGCCCTGTGGCAAGTAAGGTTGGCCAGGTGTTCGGTATTGACCTGGACAGTCCAGTATTTTCGCTTCCTGTCCGTTAAAAAAATTTAAAAAATACCGGTCGCCTAAAATGTCCAGTATTTTCTGATTTTTTTTCCTGACCAGGAGGCGAAAATACTGGACACCTGGCAACCCTACAAAACACTCGGCAACTGGGCCCAGCCCCCGGCCTTCCCCCGACACCCCCGACACCCCCAGCTTCCCTGTTTAGCTGTGTTTGGCTTGAACAAAATGACCACCGGCAAAAAGCCTAAAGACCACGGGGAAGCAATGCCTTCCCTGGGTCTTAGTGCTCAACTTCTCCCCTGTTCCTATCCCTATTCTGCCTCTGCAGGCACTCTGAAAGGGGCCATGCTGATTGATTGATTGATTAATTTGATTAATAACTCTTGGAATCCTTTTTTTTTTTTTTTTTTTTTTTTGCTTTGGTCTCCTCCTTTTTTGGGGGGAGGAGGGTGAGTGTTTGGTATTTTTGCTTAACCATCTGGCAACCCTAGACAACTGTCTCATTCCCCCTCACCTCTACCTCCCCAGCGGGCATGGAGCTGACATGAGTCCCCAGAGAAAACAGGCCTGGCACAATAGTGGCTTCATTTAAGTCACTGTCTGTTCCAGGAAGGCTTTTCCCCCCTGTGTTAGGTCTTTGTGAAAGCAGACGCCAGGCCTGGTCTAAATCACCACAAGCTAACAAGAAGGCCCGATCTGACCATCTTTTCTTAAGCGGCGAAAGCTCTTAACTCCGTTGTGTAGGGCAGGAATGGGCAAAATCCAGCCCGCAAGCCAGATCTGGCCTGCCAAGCTGTTTGACTCACGCACAGAGGTGGGGCAGTGTGCCTGCGGGTTGGATCAATCGCCTGAGGCCCTGCCCTTTCTGGGGGCAGAACTGGCCCATGACCACTACCCACAATTCATGAAGTGGCCCACCTGCAGAAATTATAGCCCACCCCTGAGGTAGGGATTGCTCAGGGATAGAGAGGGTAGCAAAATGTGGCCTTGTGGTTGGACCAATGGTATAAAAATTACTGTTTCTTTTTTAAAGGATGCATATTACTCCAGACTCTTTGCATCAGGGCTAGAACCATGAGTAGATCTAAATGCTGCCTCTAAGGTGTAACTCTCCCCCCTCCCCCCACATACACACTCCTCTCCAGCATATCCTGACAGCCGGTAGGGTAAACATGAACTGAGCATCTTTACAGATTTCTTGGGATAGTTCGCTCAAAAAAGGGATGATCCTGGAAAAGCCTCGTCTGAGGGCAACCCTAACCACATGGATTTTTTTTACCCACACTGCTGGTGTACACAAAATCAGTCATCGTTCATCTTCAATGTGGGTTTGCAAACTATCCAGGTGGTGGACACAACATGTTACATGCATAGTGTCTAATCACAAGGATTTTCCTCTGTCCAGATATCTGCAAACCTCCCGAGGCTGCTGTTTGCTGGTCAATTTTTGATCTTTCACTATTTTCCCCCATAGATAAGTAGCTACGTGAGTCAAGCCGCAGTAAATTGCCAAGGGTAGCCACCAGTCCCACGTCTGGGGAGCTGACAGAGGCTGAGTGGTTGTGCCTGAATATCTGAGCACAGTGATCCCAGACCATGCTATGGCTTTGCAATGAGGTTCACCCATGGGAAACCAGGCTCAAATCTGAACCTTGACTCTGCAAATCGATTTTTGCTGGCACGTCAAAAAGGTTGTTTGTTATTTTTCATTCCTGCCATACTCCCCAGGTACTGAAAACGTGCTGAAGGCCTGCTGTGCCCTGAGCATCCCATTTCTTGTCTACACGAGCTCCATTGCTGCTGTGGGCCCCAACACCCGACGAGAGCCCATGCTGAGGTGAGCCTGAGCAAGCCTGTTGCATGTGTCTAGTTTGTCAGAGGGTGGAGGGAAGCGCTGGGGAGTTTTGCAACATGGGGATTTTTACTGGGACACAAGGGGGAAAGGTGTTTTTCCCTCCTTGTGGATTCCCTTTTGTGCAGGTCCTTCCCTGCTACCATTGTCCATGAGCAATTACAGCCTCTAACATGGCCAAAATGTGAGCACTAGCTGATAAAACGTTCATCAAGTGGCATATGACCCAGCTGCATATGACCTATAAGACTTAACCAGTGTCGCCTGGGAGCCACACTGCCCACCAGCTGGCTTTTCCTTGGGGCTAGCCCAGGGTGAGAGGTGCGGGTCATGTAGGCTGCCCACTGGCTTTTCTCCAGGGCCAGGACAGGAGGGGCACAAGCAGGCCTTCCGATGGCGTCTTCCTGAGGCTGGTCTAGGACCTTTATGCACGCCACCCACCAGCTCCTCCCTGGGCCCTTGTGGCACAGCTGGCAGATGCTCCCAGGGGGCAGCTTAGGGGCAGCAGGGGCTAAGCTGCCAGTCAGCAACTTCTCCCTGAGGCTGGGGCACTTCCTGCCCCCCTGTGGTCATTCATGAGTATAACTGTCCCCACTATCACACTCCTCCCTTTCTGTTTGCCACGAAACAATCACATTTCACACACACCATTGTCCTGGTGCGGCCAAACCCTGACCTCACTTTAAGTTATAATAAGAGGAAGTTGTCTACCAAATTTGGTGGCTTGAGTTCTTATCATTTAAGAGAACTTCTTGAACAAATGGTCTCGCAGATGGATGGACAGACAGACACACATGGAGAGACAGATACTCTCTAAAATATATAGCAGATGATTATCTGCCCTTCCCATTGGTCACCTATGCCTGAATTCATGGGCTCATTCTTCTAGATCACATGTCTTTGGGCACGATTCTGCTTCCATTGAAGGAAACATTAGTTCTGGATCAGGGCCAAACGGCAACATTTTCAAATGTGTCAGAGTTACTTAAGAACCTGGGCCCCATTTTCAGCAGTGACAGGCACTTAGTTTCCTAAGTCCTGCTAAATTTCTGTGACATGTAGGCCAACAATTTTCAAAAGTGCCCAAGTAATTGTGGAGTTCAATTTCCGTGCACTGACTTTCCATTGGGCTTAGGCACTTTTGTAAACATTACTCCAAAACTTCTCTATGGGGGTGGCTCAGTGGCATGTAACTAGCCACACCCCTTCTCATCTGGTATCCTGTGAACTTGAAACATCATTTGCCTCAAAATAAACACACAACAGCTACCATGCCCCCGACCCAAAACAGAGTGAAAAAACAAAGATGCCAGCAGCCACATAGTACCCTGTGGTTCATGTATCAATGGACAAATAGGAAATGCTGTTGAAAATTATGCGCCTCATTCACCAGTATCTGGTAAAAATCCAATGTGAATTAAGCTGGAAGCAAGTTGATGTAAAGCAGCGTTTTGTAAAATGTGTTCTGCTGTGAGGTAGTCAGAGGTGTGCTGCAGAGAGAACAGAATTCAAAATTTTTTTTTGCTCAACAACTTTTCCCTGAGGGCTTTTTTTTCACCCTCAACAAAAAAATCCTTGGTCTTCCCCATACAAAAAAATATTCTTTGGTGATCCTTCGTCTTAAAAAGTTTAGGAAACACTGGTATAAAATGAGAGAAAATTGAGGCCTGTGATCTTAAAAGGAACCAGTTGCCTCTTCATAGAGCTCATCTGGAAGGACTGAAGAGCTGCACAATATGGCCATGGTCTGAAAATACATGTGATGCAGCTTCCCTGCTTCTCTCTTTCTTCTCCTCCTTCTCCCCCTCTTTGCACTTCTCTCTCCCAGCTCACGCACCCGCCCATCTTCACTCTCCTCTGCCTGCTTTCCCCACCATTCCCTGTGTAATTATATTCAGCTCAGTTTTGCATCCAGGTGAACTGACGCAGACAACGCCTGATTAGTCTTGGGACAAGGGTGATGGGTGCTGGGATAATGCTAACACCTCAGCATCCGACAGTAATAGAAAATGCCTCTGTCAGTCTCAATCCCTCCGAGACAGCTACCGCTGAGATCCCGTCTGACAACGCCGCTCCAGTCTCATTAGTGTTCCGTTATCTGTGATCATTCTGAAAAGAAAGAGCATTACACTGAGCTCTTTGTTCCGAGCAAGCTTGAAGGGAAGGGGATGAGGATGCCCAACGGCGCACTGCAGTCCAAGAGCCAGACGCACGTTACCCTGGGTGGAGCGGTTTCTTTTAAAGAAAAAGAGATTTGCAGATACAGAAAGAAAGTAATTAAAACTTGAACTGCTAGATAAACCTCCTAATTGTCCTGGCCCTCCAGAGGCTGCGAAGGGTGGAATGAATCATGTACCACAAATCTTGTGTTCAGTGTGTTTTCTAGTTAGTTTCTCCTGTGCATCACCCACAGGCAGGGTGTAGGGAGGAGGGCCTTGTGATAAAAGCCCAAGGCAGGAAAGAAGAAGAACTGAGTTTTTATTTCTGACTCTTATTGTTTATTTGTGTCATAGCAATCTCTAGTTCCAACTGAAGGTTCAGCTGGGGAAGGCAAGCCCCTGCCCTGGCCCTTCCGCCTAAGGCCCCACCCCTGTAGCCAAGCCCCGCCCACCCCCAGCACGGCAGCTCCGGCAGCCCCAGCCTCAACCTGAGCCCCAACCCCGGGGAAGCCGGGCTCCTATGCCGTAGCTCCAGCCCTCCCAGGTGGCTGGGGGAGCCAGGCTGCCTCACTATGGTCCCAGCCCTTCTGGGCAGCCTGGGTGCTAGACACGGCCCCTGCCGTGGGAGGGCAGGTGACTGGGACGTGCAGGCAATTGTGAGAAGGCTGTGCCTTCCCTTGCCTACGTTACAGGCCCTCCACGGACCCCTGCTGTGCTATTCAACAGACAAAGGGTAGGGGAGAAAGGAAATATTGCTACTCCATTTTCCAGGGGGAGAGCCACGGCACAAAAAGATCAAGTAATTTGCCTCAGATCACACTGGATGTCTGGGCAGAGCAACAAACTGAATCCAGATCTCCTGAGGCCCAACCCAATGCCTTGATCAGATCGCCTTCCTATGGCCAGAGATTTAGGGCACGCTTCATTTGCACGTTCAAAACGTCTAATTTACATCCCTCCTCTAACAGAGGGTGTAGTCTAGACATAGCCTGGGGAAGCTCTTTGAACTATCTGGCCGCCCTTTGTCAGCACCTAAATGAGAACTGAGTAGATGGGAAATGTGGATCCAGTTAGGCACATGGAAGCACTTGAATACCTGAGTGCTCGTCTGAAAATCTGGCCTTTAGATCTCAATCTGGTTCAGTACTGAGCACCCACTGGGCTCAGAGGGTGAGGAGGATGCATTTCAGAGAACTGAGCCTGTCTCTGATTTTTCAGTAATTCAGTTCTAGAGCAACATGGTACCCAAAGGACACTCAGGGTATGTCTACACTACCACCCTAGGGTGGTTAATGTAGTCATACGAACTTGCAAATGAAGCCCGGGATTTGAATTTCCCGGGCTTCATTTGCATGTTGCTGGGCGCCGCCATTTTTAAATCCCCGGTAGTTCGGACTCCATGCCCGCGGCTATACGCGGCATGGAGTAGGTAGTTCGGAGTGGAACAAGGTGTAACGGTAGTTCTAATTAGAAAGCCTAATCCGAACTATCTAGTTCGTGCTGCGTGTAGCCACGGGCACGGAGTCCGCACTAGCGGACATTTAAAAATGGCGGCGCCTGGCAACATGCAAATGAAGCCCGGAAAATTCAAATCCCGGGCTTCATTTGCAAGTTTGTATGACTACATTAACCACCCTAGTTCGAACTAGGGTGGTAGTGTAGACATACCCTCAGATCTGAAATGTGGGCTCCAGAGGGCCTGACTTCCTCTAGCTACCGGCTTTTCAAAGCTGCTTTTAGAACCCGTTCCAATTTATCCTATGGTCCCAGCAGGCCCAGAGTCAGCGAGACAGGAACAGAGTCTCCTGGCACAAATACAATGTTTAACATAGGACAGGATTCAGAGAAACAATCTTTCCTTTTAAAAACAGATTTCACATCCACCCCTCGGTGTCCAGTCTCTGGATCATAGATGCTCGTTACAGCCAGCAAGCAGTTCATGCTTTTTGATCTGGGTGTCCCTAATTCTGGGCTGATGAGGCCCTCAAGTTCCCTCAAGTACTTATCAGGGCCTCGTTCTCCCAGACTGCAGGAAGTTACCAAGTCCCAAGACATGTAATTTGGAGCCAATGCAGCTTTATGGCAGTCTCTTGCAGCATCCTGATTGCTTACTGCTTCTTTTCATTTATCTCAGAGGAACAGAAGACACCAAGTACACTGGGGAAGTGGAACTGCCTTATGGGAAGACAAAAGCCATGGCAGAAAAACTAGTCCTTGAAGCCAATGGAAAAGAGGTATAAAAGTCAGACAGAAGCCTTAGTGCTATAACCTAACCTTTACAGAAAGAGACAGCCCATGATTCTCTTAATATAATCCTGCCACTCACAGCTGACCAACTACTAACAGCTGCAGTTTTGATTTCACATATAAAAGCCTTAAACTGATTTATTTTGGGTACTCCCACAGCATCACAAAGTAGTCTGTAAAGCTCCAAAGCCCAGATATGTCAAAGCACTTTAAGCACATGCTTAAATTCCATTCCAGTGAATGCCACCTGTGACTCTTAAAAACATGCACTTGGCATGTGTTAAATTGTGGCTTTGAAAGATGGACACTCAAGCAATCAGGGTACATCTACACAGCAGAGCTAAATCCAAAATAAGCTACGCAACGTGAGCTACGTTAATTACGTAGCTTATGGCGAAATAACGTATTTTGGCTTTTGGTGCTGCCTACACAGCAGGAAGTCTGAGGAAGAGCACTCTTCCTTCGACTTCCCTTACTGCTCATAAAATGAGGGTTACAGGAGTTGGAGTAAGGAATTGTCTGGCTGGATATTATGTTGACATTATGTTGAAATAACTGCTTCTGTGTAGATGCAGATTATGTTATTCCAAAATACCACTGCTGTGTAGACATACCCTCAATGATAAAGAAACCACATTCCTTTGCATTATGGCTTGTTAGAAGAATTCTGGAAATATCACATGTCGACCATGTAACCAGTGAATAAGTATTAGAGATAATTGGGTCTTGGAACATGCTAGTTAAGACCGTTTGAAAAGAAAGATTTGATTTAAAAGGCCTATTTTAAGAGGTTTAGTGGGTGATTCATGTTAAAGGGCACTAGAAAGGAAAGTTGATGGTAGAAGAACATGAGATGGGAAAAAGATCTTGGATAAACAATGTGGTGCCCTGGATGAATCAACAGGACTATTTATTTGCAAAGAAATAGGTGGGGGATTGTACAGAATGAGCAAGGTTACAAGCCTTCAATAATGGAGATGCCTCATAGGAATAGAAAATTAGACATGTGCGGGCTTAAGTGCTTTGCCAAATCAAGGTCCAAGAGACCACATTGTCCCGTATAAGTGAATAGTCAATGTGAGACAGGACTCTCTGTCCCATTTTCAGAAGGGATGTCCATACTGTGCATTATGACTGAGCGCTAGCTCAGGTTTGAGCCCAAGCCCCTCTTCTGTCCGCACACAAATCAGTCTGACTAGGGTCAGCAAGTACTTAGGACTGACGTTCTCGGGGTGTTGGGTCAGAGCCAGAGTCCTGCTGTGATTGGGGGCCAAGCCCTGTTATTTCGCAGTATGGACGCAGCTCAAGCCACAGACCCAAGTCAGGTCTGTGTGCTGCAAGATGGATGCAGAACGTTCGCTGAGACAGCCAGGTCCCACAAGTGTGAACCTAGATTGACAGTGCACTATGGATGAACCTGCGCTTCGTCCATTATGTAGACATCCTTTAGGCCAGTGGTGGGGAACCTCAGGCCCGGGGGCTGGATGTGGCCCTCGGCTGGCCTAAATCTGGCCCCTGAAGCACAGGGCCCCTCCCAGCATTGGAGAGCCTGTGCTGGTGCTTCAGCCCCCCCAACTATCCTTCTGGGAGATGAAGCACACAAAATCTACTAGGCTGGCCCCTCAGGCTCTGGTGTGTGAGGGGAATGTGGGGAGTGTCTTTCTGCTTCTCACTCAGTGGCCAGAGTGAGAGGGTTTTTTTCCACTTCTCACTTGTGTGCAGCCCCCAACTAATTTTTCTGTGGTCAGGGTCCCTCAACAGTGAAAAGGTTCCCCACCTCACCATAGGCACTTCAGAATCTAAGTCCAATTGACTTTCAAACAGCCTTGGGCATTTCAATGGGAGTTAGGCACTGGCGCACTTTTGAAAATCCTGCTAGAATACATCCTTAGGCACCTTAATACCTTTGAAAAACAAGTTACTTTTGAAAATGGGACTTCACAGTACTTTTTTTCAAAAGAGCCTAATTAGTGGAGTAGTCTCTATTGCCACTAGGCATGTGGTTTTGATTTAACAAACACGAAAATCCGTCGGATATCTCATCTTCAAATCCAGAGCCTGCTACCATCCTGTATGCCCTGAACAACACCTCTTTGAAAGCATGAAAACGTGTCTCTCTTGCCAAAGGGGCATCTATACTTGCACTTGATTGACAAAACTTTTGTCATTCACCAGGTGCTCAACCCCAGGTCCCCAGAAAGGACAAAACTTTGCTGTGGTACATGAAAGTGTGACTGCAGCTTCATTGGCAGGAGCATTCTCCGGTGCGCCCGCGCAGGAGCGTGTGTGTGTGTTGGGTGGGGGGAGGTGTGTATTTCATTGGCAAAAATGCTGACAAACAGCACTCACTTTAGCAACAAAGTGGTATCAACACAGCCTTGTCGTTAAAAGCTGTGCAGTGTAGCCATACTCACGTAGAAGTTGGTCCACTAAATGGTATTTCCTCACCCACCTTACCTGTCAAAACTTTTTCTGTTAATTTTACAGCTAAGCAACGGTGGCAAACTTGCGACATGCATCATCCGTCCAAATACAGTTTATGGGGAAAAATACCAGCGTCTAAAGGACTTATATACCACTGTCAAAGCCAAAGGGGGACTGCTCAACTACATAGTACGTGAAGATACAGAACGTAATCTAATATATGTAGGTGTGTATGTTTCTTTGATTCATTTACATGTTTTTACCAGACTATTTTTAAAAGGGTTCCATTTGCTTTTTAGCCATAGGACTTCTATACAACCTGGCTAATGTTCTGACAGTGAGCAAGGAGAGTAAAGAATGAACACAGAAATCATTTTAAAGTTTCTAAATAGGGCTGATTGGAAAAAAAATAAGGGTTTTCTGGGGAAACATAAAAACAACTTTATAATTTTATTCTAATTTTACTCTCTTCTCCCCAAACAAAATTAAACATATAATTTAGAAAATGGACAGTATTCCAGCAGAAAAAAAAAGGAGGGTCAGAAAATAATTTTTTCCTCCTTGGGTAGGGGTAAATATTTCAGGAGGGGAAAAAAGCAAAATGTACAGAATATAACTTATTCATTTTCATAATTTTTTCATGTCATAAAATAAAAAAAAACAGACAACATGGAAATTTTTGTTTGGTTGGAAAAGTCTTCCTCTTCTTTTTAACAGTGCATTTAAAGGGTAGGGAGTTGGTGATAAGGGAAGGGAGGTAGAAAGCAACGATTTCTATTTATAAAGTTTGGGAAACACGCCTTGTGGAAGGAAGAGACTGACACAGAGATTAAACCAACAGGTTTCTATGGAAATGCAACTTCTTTCCAAAATTCTATTGAATGTAGTAAAGAGGAGTTCCCTTGTAACGGTATGTTGACCCACATTATCGCAGGGATATAATTTTCCAATAAGTCTTCCAGACTTTTAGAGTAGAGTAATCTTGATGGAACCCTCTTACATGCCTATAGGAATTTTTTCCCATAAGGATATAATTATAGTGGTTCCTCTCTAAAGGTATGTCTACATTAGCCCCCTAGGGAAGCTAATGTAGGCATTTGAAGTTGCAAATGAAGCCCTGGATTTAAATATCCTGGGCTTTATTTGCATGCTCCTGTCCGGTCGCCATTTTTGAATTCCACTAGTCCTAAGTAACTGCCCACGGCAGTGAAACGGTAATTCGAACTAAGTCCTTAGTTAATTCCTTAGTTCGAATTAACTGTTACACCTCAATGAGGACTTAGTTCGAATTACCGTTTCACTGCCGTGGGCAGTTACTTAGGACTAGTGGAATTCAAAAATGGCGACCGGACAGGAGCATGCAAATAAAGCCCAGGATATTTAAATCCAGGGCTTCATTTGCAACTTCAAATGCCTACATTAGCTTCCCTAGGGGGCTAATGTAGACATACCTTTAGAGAGGAGTCAGGCCAAATAGGTTAAGTGACTTGTCCAAAGACATGACATAGAGAGCCTGGAATAAAACCACCAAGTCCTTACTGTTACTTCTCTGGCTCTGACAATGAAATATTGCCCCTTCATTTCCCATGAACCAATGTCACAATGGACACCGCAAGCTCATCCATACTGCACCCTTAACTCAAAGTAAACTACGCAATTTGAGCTACACAAATTGCGTAACTTATTTTGAGTGTATTTTGAAATATCTTATTTCATAATTTGGTGCTGTCTCCACAGTGCCAAATTTCAAAATAAAGCGCTATTCTGAAACGTCCCTTATGTGGAATGAGGTTTACAGCTGGGTCAGAATAGCGCACTTGTTGTTTTGAAAGATATTTCGAAATAATGGATGCGGTGTCAAGATGCAGAATAGCTAGTTCAGGATCCCAGAAGTATAGTGCTGTGCAGACATTCCTCTACTGACCGTCCGAAAGGGGGACCAGAGACTGAAAACACCTGGGAAATGTTGAATAATTACCAAGTCCCTCCAGAATAAGGATGGGTGACAAAAGTGAGGCCAGAGGGGAAAAGATGCTCAATTCAGATGCAGGGCATGAATTCAATCTAGTGTAGAAAGCTCTTGTAATAAGTGGACCAAGCATGCTCCTCCTCCATTCCTATTCTCCCATCTTCTTCTCCAGGGAACGTTGCATGGATGCATGTGCTTGCAGCCCGGAATCTGCAGCTGAACCCGGATGTCCTTGCTGGACAGGTATATTATTCCTATGATGATACTCCAGCAAGGAAAAGCTATTTGGTGCAATATCAGCTGTTGACAGGGATAGACCCATCCATCAGGCTGGGCTCATGCATACCTTACTGGAAGCTCAGGTTATTAATATATTTTTATAGAATAATCAATATCCTTTTGTACCCCTTCTGGAAACCACGGCCCTTCCTAAACTTGCCAGTCTTGAATACAATAATCACCACATTCTTCTATGAGACAGACAAAGCCTTCAGGCACTTTGGGTACACCCCCTTGTATAGCTGGGAAGAAAGTAAACGCCGAACTATAGCATGGCTAAAGTCAGCTACAATGAACCTGAGAGCACATCAGCACCATGGAAAGGAGATGTAGGTGTCACTTTGAGCAGGGAGCGTATCCTCTTCAGTGAATTCTATTTAGCTACGTCTACACTGGTCAGTCTTGCACGAGAATATATGCAAATGAGGTGCGGTGATGAATATCGCCTAGCCTCATTTGCCTACTTAATGAGCTGCCATTTTTGCGCAAAGGGGCTTTTGCACAAGAAGGAGCAGTCGATACTGCTACTTCTTGAGCAAAAACCCCCTCTTGTGCAAGTGCCGTTCTGCCTGAAAATAAGCGTCAGAACGGCTCTTGTGCAAGAGGGGGTTTTTGCCCAAGAAGGAGCAGTGCAGAATGCTTTTTTGTGCAAAAATGGTGGCTCATTAAGTATGCAAGTGAGGCATGGCGATGAATATCACCACGCCTCATTTGCATATGTTCTTGCGCAAGACTGGCCAGTGTAGCCTCGGAGTTTGGCTCTATGCATAGCTTTCCTGCTAGGGACCTGGCAAAGACGCAGCAACCCACTACACCTAGCCTAGCACAGAACAATGACTTCCAGCTACTATGGAAACTACTTCTCCAGTCCCCTAAGCCACATAGGCAACATCCATTTCCCATTTGACAATATCCACTGGCAGCAGCAGACATACAGGGCCGTATCCCACAGACTTTACCTGCTGCAGTAGCCCTATTGGTTTTGCGGCATTTCATTGGAGTACGGAATCCAGGATCAGATTGCGGTCTGTAAGGCTGAATTGAAATTTTGTACAAAATTATTTTCAGTAACCAATTTAATTCTATGTCACGAATAAGCTGCATCCTTTTCAACAGCAGGACTGGCACTTTTAAAGTGATCTTCTCTAGTGAGGGGACTGTCTCATGTCACTTACATGCTAGGGGCCTTCCCCCGCGCCCCCCACTCCAGTGCTGCAGCCAAGGGCTGCGGGGTGGGGAAGTGCGTTTGGGGCAGAGGGCTACTTACATGGTGTGCTGGCAGGCAAGATGGCAGAGCCACAGTCCTGCTGGCCACTCCTTTCGTGGTTCAGCTGCCCCCAGTGGACACTCTGCAGGATAACTCTCCCCTGTGGGCTTGCTCCCCCACCCCTGTGGCCACTCTCAGTATTGCATCTCTCCAAACAGCCCAGTCCCTCCCTTTCCATGTTATGGAAAACAGTCCCTCTCACAGCACTTCTGGTTGTCCTGGCACAACCAAACCCTGACCTTGCTCTAAGTTAGGAGAAGAGGAAGCTGCCTACCAAATCTGGTGGCCCTAAGCGCTTATCGTTTAGCAGGAGTTTTTGAACAAACATACTCACAGATAGACATACAGACAGACAAATGCACAAATCAATAAGATATAGATATAAATGGATAATTCTTAGGGGGTGAGAAGAAATCGTGAAATTCCCTCTCAATTTTAGGGTTTAGATGTAGATGGATGTAAGTTTTCATCACTGTCCTTAGATACAGCTTTCATATCGACCTTTCCCCAAGTTCCTGGGGAAACTGTTCCTGCTACTCACTGTTAGCTTGTACAGCATTTTTTTTTTACAAAGCTAATGTTGTAGTCAACATAAAAGTTACCTTACAATATCTCTTGAGGTGACAATCTGTCAGTTTCATTGCTTTCTGATTTATATGGTTTGATAATTAATGTCAGTGCTTATAGACTGTCTTGGATGCATTTTGCAACATGAATAAAAATTACACTGGGTCTGATTCTCATTTGCACAGAGATGTACTGAGCTGGCAGTATAATACAACTTAAAAATGGGTGCACATGTAACTGAGTCCCACACTATGGCCCTGTAAAAGAATGATGTAAAGAAGCCTTGGTATCAATGAGAATAAAGTTCTTGCGCAAAAGGTCTTGTGCAAGTGCGTCCACACTGCCATGTGCTTTTGCGCAACAGCGTCCATGGCAGTGTGGACACTCTCTTGCGCAAGAAATCTCTGATGGCCGTTTGCGCAAGAAACCCCTGTTGCCTGTCCACACTGCCTTCTTGTGCAAGAGCTCTTGTACAAGAGGGCTTATTCCTCATGGGGAGAGGAATAACTCTTGTGCAAGAAGCCCTTTGTTCCGACACTTTACTGTAAATTTACTTGCTCAAGAACGCACGTGCAGTGTAGACACTCCGCAAGTTTTTGCGTAAGAACGGCTGTTTTTGCGCAAAGAGCCTGCAGTGTAGACATAGCCTTTGTGGCTTAGCTGAGGGAACAGCAGAAACATTTTCACAAATATTAGTTGAAAGTACAAATTAATTTCTACTGGTCTACTTCACGACACTTCCCTGATCTGTGACTGTTCCAGATTTACTTTAGTTGAAGCATTCATAGAAGGCTAATTTTAATTTCAAATGCTTAAATAGTCACAAAAAGTCATTTTTGTTGGTGCAGTATATCTGATCAGAATAGTCACCATTTGCCTTTATTTGGTTACATTAATCATCCAGTCATGAAACAGAAGCAATACCACATGATTTTCTTAAATCAAGTTATCAGGCATTTCGTCAGTCACCTCTTTGCAAAATATCTGTCTAACCAGAATTGTTTGCTAAAGAAATATGTAAAGAATTTCACACAACAAATAGGTCTGGAGAAATTTGCAATCTGTTCACACAATATGTAAAGGTGAAATTCCTTGAATAAATTATCAGTTGCAGATTTTTTTCCACTCAGCTCTGCTAAGTGCCTACAGCTTCTTTCGTTTCATTATGTTACTCTTTTTCAAAAGTGGTTTTTTTTTCACTCAGCAATAGAGCGCAGCTTGCTATGATTTTCACAAAGAAAAAATATACCTTCTTGGAACGCGTGCGAACGCGCACGCGCGCACACACACACACACACACACACACACGAGCAAACGTTGACCAGCAGTAGTTTTAAAGCTTTGGAAATGTTTAGTGGCATGTTGTCTGAAGAGCCACAGGGTGGAGCTACACGTACAGTTGTTAGGCAAAAACTAGAAGGAGTCCAGTGGCACCTTTAAAACTAACGCATTTATTAGGACATAAGCGTCCGTCAGCTGCAGCTCACTTTGTCGCTATCTATACTCTGGTTTCCCTTATGCAAAGATGCATCTGACGAAGTGAGTCTTTAAGGTTCCACCAGACTCCTTGTTGGGTTGCTGAAATGAACATGGCTACCTCTCTGAAAGTTGTAAGGCACATTTGATTTAAATGTGTGGTAACAACTTTTGTTTTAACTTGCTTCTAAAGGCACTGAAGTCTTCCCTTGCTGGTTAGGTTGATTAATTGGTTTATGTGCCATCTAGGTTTTTAAGAGTTTTCAGCCCTTGGCAATCTGAATTTTTTTGGACTCAGTAAATTAACTAAGGGTACGTCTACACAGCAGCGTTATTTCAGAATAACGTTCAAAATAACAAAGAGCATGTCTACACTACAAGCTTTTATTTCAAAATAATGTCAAGCTGGAGGACTTCTTACTCTGACTCCTGTAACCCTCATTTCATGAGGAGTAAGGAAAGTTGAAGGGAAAGTGTTCTTCCATCGACTTCCTGCTGTGTAGACAGCCCAAAAGCCGAAATAAGCTATTTCAACGTAAGCTACACAATTGAAGCTGAAGTTGCGTTCGGCCCTGCTATATAAATGTGCCCTAAGTGTTTCTCTAGGCTGCCTGGATGTAGCAACCTTCTTATTTACTTATACTGATTTATTCAACGCCACCTAAAAAGAGACTTGGAAACCCAAATGCCTTTAAAGAAGAGGGGGAATTGGGGCATTCAAATCCCATGGGGAGCTTTGAAGTGCTCAGTCTGGGTGTGAATGCTAATGATTTCACATGTGCCAAGCAGCCTTTGATACAACTCACTGTGGGATTTTGAGCTGGTTGAAGATACGAGTTGGAGGAAACAGAATTGCTTTTGTCAAGCCACATTCTCTTATCACAGAGTGTGATTGATGCTGGGCAATTGCATATCTGCTGTCAGGTTTCCCTCCTGCAAAGATCCACATGGTGCTTTTTTGCCTTCCCTCCTGCTCCACATGTATGCTAGGAGATGGTGAAAGGATCTGAGTTACCATCAGCATGCAGATAGTCCGTGTTGCTGCAGGTCATGTTTTCAAAGGTATTTAGGTGCCTAAAGATGCAGAGTAGTGGTAGAGATGTAGCCGTGTTAGTCTGGGGTAGCTGAAGCAAAATGCAGGACAATGTAGCACTTTAAAGACTAACAAGATGGTTTATTAGATGATGAGCTTTCGTGGGCCAGACCCACTTCCTCAGATCAAATAGTGGAAGAAAATATATGGTTGTGACTATTTTCTTCCACTATTTGATCTGAGGAAGTGGGTCTGGCCCACGAAAGCTCATCATCTAATAAACCATCTTGTTAGTCTTTAAAGTGCTACATTGTCCTGCATTTTGCTAAAGATGCAGAGAGCAGCCACGTAGGGGTTTCTAAAGTTCTTCAACAAGGTAGGCGCCTGGGTCCTGAAGAGGACAAATCATGGATTCAGAGGGATCCGAATCACCTGATAAACTGGGCACAAACATACATTATGCCTCCCCCTGTATGGCAAAATGTAGATGTACACCTCTAGGAACACACGTCAGCCAAACGTACCCAACAGGGGAACTGTTCTAGGAAGCAGTGACTCCGTAAGAGATTCTAGGGATAGTCAGCTGAACATAAACTCCCAGGGTGGCACTGGTGGAATACCGTGTTCAGGTCTGGTGCTCCCAATTCATGGGAGATGATGATAAATTGGAGAGAGTTAAGAGAAGAGCCATGAGAATGACTACAGGCTGCCCCTTACTTGCAACACGATCAATAGCATTGCAAGTTGGGGGCGTCATAACTCAAGTCCGCATTTACGACAGGCGTCACACAGCATCGTAAAAGCGGGGCCAAGGACGTAAGTCGGGGGATTTTGGCCCCTTCTGCACTTACAGAAAAGGTTGTAAGTGCGGGCAGTCGTAAATCGGGCCGTTGTAAACTGGGGGCCTCCTGTAAAAGATTAGAAAAACTGGTTTTGCAGTCAGAGACTCAAACACGAGACCCGACAGTCTCGCTGGACCCTTGGGCAAGGTGGGGGGACGGCTCCCCCCTCCAGAAGGGGCGGGGCCTCAGGTGGAAGGGGCAGGATCGGGGAGCTGGCCTTCAGCACAGCCTGGACCACACCCCCTCTAGTGCTGACCAGAGCGCACCACCCAGGACTCCAGGGGCAATTTAAAGG